ATTTTAGATGGACCACTACTAAACACATGCTTCTCTGAATTAAACGCATCTTCATTTTCTTCTCCATTTTCTTCTTTTTTTTTTTTTTTTGTTATTTTTTGTTTCCTTCTTCACATGAGCTCTCTTTCCCTTCTTAATCTGATTGTCTTTTTTTTTTCTTTCTCGATTATAATTCTTTTGTTTTTCAAATTCTTATTTCCTCTCTCCTCTATTCTTTGGTTTTTTTTTCCCATTATATTTTCCATTGATTTGCTGCATTAAACATGACGAATATGTTTTTCAAATTCAAAATTTCGGAAGTGATCAATCCAAGTTAGTTATTCTGAATTCATTGTGACCAATATTAATTTATTTTTTGTTTTTGAGATGAATTTGTGGATTTAATACTTGTTTTAATATTAATTGAATTTCTTGAAGCTAATCTAATCGATCTCAATCCATTAAGATAGATTTCAATCAATTATGATCGATTAATTGATATTTTTTATTGTTTTCATTAATTTGATCGATTAATTTTATCGATCTTATTAATTTGTATGAAATTTATTAATTGTTTGTTTCAAAATTAGTTATATGTACCACGCCTATACTTTTGAACATTTACTAAAAAATTATGAACGATTGCAAATTTTGAACATTTAGTAAAAAAAATCCGAACAAAACATCGAAAATTTTGAACATTTAGTAAAAATATTTGAACAATCGCATTGTACCATGCCCATACTTTTGGACATTTAGTAAAAAAAATCTGAACGATTGCAAATTTTGAACATTTAGTAAAAAAAATTTGAACTGAACATCAAATTTTTTGAACATTTAGTAAAAAATTTGAACAATCGCAATGTATCACGCCTATAGTTTTGAACATTTTGTAAAAAAAAATTGAACAATTACATATTTTGAACATTTAGTAAAAAAAATCCGAACATCGTAAAATTTGAATATTTAGTAAAAATATTTGAACAATCGCAATGTACCATGCCTTTACTTTTGAACATTTAGTAAAAAAATCTGAACAACTTCAGAATTTGAACTTTTGATTAAAAAAATCTGAACATCGCAAATTTTGAACATTTGGTAAAAATATCCGAACAATTGCACTGTACCACTGCATGCCTTGAAATCGATTGGATTAGCTTCAACAATTCATCTTCATCACTACTTGTAGAATATTTGTCAAGTTTCTAAAAAAAATGTGAAAAATGTTATGAAATTATTCACAAATTACAAAAATTTAAATAATTTTAACAAATTACAACAATTTCGAAGGAAATCAATTAACGTATTTAAAGAAATCTAAAGAAGTTTTAAGTTCAGATATTTAATTACCTTTCTGGACCTTTTTCTTGTTTATCTTCCATGGATATTCATAGAGGAGAGAGATAACTAGTTGAGCAATTGAAAAATGAAATGAAAGTAATAAATGAAAGTTGTTGCAGAGGAGAGAAATATGTTGTTGCAGCGAAATAACATAAAGAAAGAAACTGAGTAAATTTTGAGAGTGTTTGGGCCGCAAGATATGAGGTTTGTAGTGTATATGGGCCCGGTGGTTCATCTAGTTCTAGATGGACCAGGGTCTACAATAGACTTATTGTCTATTATTGAACACATCAATAAGGGTGCACTTTAAATAGGTGTAACAACGTAGCCCAAAAGCCTAATTACACACAACCCAATTAAAAAAAAGCCCTAAAACTAAAAAACACGAAAACTGCAATACACCCACCAGCACCCAATACACCCACCCACACCCAATAAATGTAACGTCATTTCCAAACTCAAAAATCTTCTTCTTCTATATGATTTTCTCTCTCCTCTTTTTACTTTCTCTCTCCTCTATTTCATTCTTTCACTAAAAAACTGCAAAAACTTCAATAGACATTAGGAAAGAGATGCAAAATCAAAAAGATCCTCCCCAAAATGACAATTTTATATAATTTTCACTTAATTTTGTTTGAATTTATATGATTATCACTTAATTTTGTTTGAATATTGTTCGAAATTTATTATTGGAATTGTAAAAAAAAAAAAAAATAGTGAAATCAAACGGATATTTTATGTTCACATTTCGAAATGCATATGTTTATAATTTAAATTCTTATGTTCATATTTTGAATCCGTTTGTAAACTTTCTGAAATGCTTATATTCACTTTCTAAATTCATATGTTCATATTTTTTTTTTTATGTATATGTTCACCTTCTGAAATGCTTAATTATGTTCATACGCATTAAAAAATGAACCAATGCATATGTTCATATTTTGAATTCATATGTTCATATATTTTAATACTTATGAATTATGATGCATATGTTTCATAATCATATTATTTTTATTTCTTCAATTTTTAATCTTCATAATAAAATGCCTTATATTCATAATAATATTTTATATGTTCATAATGTAAATATTTTTTGTTCTCATTAAGTTTGTTTATGCATATCTTCTCTCTCTGAATGCATATGATCATATTTTTTACGCATATGTTCACCTTTTAAATGGTTATATTCACTTTAAGGAAACCAATGCTTACGTTCATATTTTGAATTTTTATGTTTACCTTCTGAAATGCATATGTTCATATATTTTATGCTTATGTTCACTTTCTAAAAAGCTAATGTTCATATTTAAGGGGACCTATGCATGTGTTCATATTTTGCATGATTATGTTCATTGATAAAAAAAAATGTAGAAAATCAAATGAAATTCATATACAAATGAAATTGATCGAAGCTTTAAAAAAAAAATTCAATTCATATGAATTCAAAAAATCAAATAAACAACCAATTCCATATAGTAAGTAACATATTCAATCGTTAAATCGAAAAACCGAGAAAATAGAAAAAAAATAAAAAATAAAAAATGAGGAAAAAGGAATTAAAGAAGGAAGGAGAAAAATAGAGTATAATTTGTGAATTCAAATATTCATATACACCTTAATCAATCGAAATTAAAGCACAAAATCGAAATTCACACAAAAATTCATACTTAATAACTACTTTCATGTTGTAAGAAACAAATTTAATCAAAAAAGTGTAAAAAAGGGGGAAAAATTAAAAAAACAGAGGAGAGAGAAAATAAAAAATGAAGGAGAAAAATAAAGGAGAAGAAACCTAATGTTCACTTTCTGAAAAGCTAATGTTCATATAGTGTTGTTGTTACACCTATTTCTAGGTGCATGATTGTGCACCTAAGAATATGTGTGAACACATGGTGTTTTTGGACCTATACTTGACCCAGCCCAAAGCTGATATTGGCTATCAGAACTTCAGAAGCCCACAATTCCACGAGCTCTCTTTTCATCATTCATAACTTACAGTAAGTCTTAAGGTTATAGATTGTTAAAAATATTACTAGCATAATTATTCTTACTAATACACCGAGTTTGAAGCTTGAACTTACCTCAAATTATATGCGAAGTAAGCTACTCGAAAATGAAAACACTGCTTCAAGTAGTCTTTGCCACCTCTTTGAAACAAGCTCTATGGAGTACAACTTAGGGTCTATTCCAATTTACCGAATTGAAGTGATTGGGGCTGAATTGAATTGAATTGAATTGAACTGAACAAAACTGTATAGAGTTGAAATAAATTGTTTATGAGAGAAGAAAATTAGAAATTAAACTGATTGGAGCCGAACTAAAATTAAGCTGAATAAAACAGGACCCTTAGTACGAGTCTTCGAGCTACTTTATTGCCCAAATTGTTTTCTTTTTGTGTCGACTCGTCTATTATCATGGTTAACATTAAGCAGGGTTTGAATTAAGTTAAATATGGTTGCTGGTTGTGCCAAATAATCTCTCATAATGTGACTTGCCTCATGGCCGAGTCTACTCACTACATATCGTTTGAAATTTTCAAAAGGATGTCCGACTCATGCCATGTGGCACTGTTTTGTATTCATTTGCGTACGTGAACAAAATTTAACTTATTTTGCTTCATTGTCATGTCGGTTAAATATACATGTTATGCATTGTCGCGTTTCTTAATTTTTTTTAAAAAAAAGTGGTTCAGCCCTAATTTACAACTGCTTGTCGTATCATGACATAAGTTAGACAAATTTGATCAACACCTGAACCAACCCAATACACATGAGTGGGTGAATATTGAGAACACACGATCTAATAAACGAGCAAGTTTGGGGACATTTGGTGATTATTTTGACGTACGCAAATAATATTTTTCAAGAGCTGATCGTGATTGAACCAACCCAATACACATGAGTGGGTGAATATTGAGAACACACGATCTAATAAACGAGCAAGTTTGGGGACATTTGGTGATTACGATTTTGTTGTCTAGCATGATGTCACGACTTACTTGAAGAATATGGGCTTTGAAAAACAAAACAAAAAAAATCTATGAAATATTATGTGGATGTTCGATTTATCCCTATATTATTCCGTAATATTCTAAATCTAAAGTTTATTATTTTTCAAGAAAATCTGGTTACATTGTAAATTTATATTTCTCCCTTATACAAAGTGTATGAATAAGAACAATAAGGGGCTGTTCTCATACGTTTATTTTCAGTTTAATTCAGCTCCTAATTCCTTCTCTTATAAAATATTCATTTCATTTCAGTTCAGTTCAACTGAGTTCAATTTATGAGAACAGACCCTAAGTTTGTTCTTTCCTAATTTCTCTATTCTCTTTGTATCACAACATAAAATTAAATTTTATACTCCCTCCGTTTTTTTTTATATGCATCACTTGGGAATGCACATATAGGAGATAAATATAATATTGTGAGTGGGTGAATAAATTATTATAATAAAAGTATGATGGGGACCATGAAAGAGAAAGTATGCGAGAGAGAATAGATATTTTATTATTTAAGTGGGGACATAGAAGAGAGGGAAATGATAAAATAATTTGATTGGGGTTTAAAGTAAGAGAGAGAAATAATAAAATATAGTAACCAAATATAGAAGTGATGCATATAAAAAAAAACATCTATAAAAGGAAAGTGATGCATATAAAAAAAAAAAAACGGAGGGAGTATTAATCTTTGAAACAAAAATTTAGGGTAACTCAAATGAGTATTTGAACTTTTGTTTGAAAGAAAATGAGTATTTGATCTAATTATATTCAAATTTTTACGAATCAAACTTTATTTTTACCAATTAAAGTTTCCGAAAAGACCCAAATCCTTTTTATTCTTTTAATGAAGTTTCTTTTGTTGTTCACAAAAGTCACAAGACTCAAAACTATCACGAGTGTAGTAATCCTAATACTCTGTAGCTAATAAGCAAAACCCGTTAATAGCCTTAAATGACCCTCCTCACTAGTCACCATGCTACTACAGTTTCACATTTTCAAACTCAAATCGGCGCCTTCCTCACTTCTTTCGTGAACAACCACAGTAACCCCCTCACTCACTCTCCCCCCAAAATCACATTTTTGAATCTTGAATTTTTCTCTCTCCTCCTCTTCTCATAACTTCCCCTCTTTTTTCTCATCAAACTCACTACAAAACTCTAACCAAAACCAAATTCAAATCAAAATCAAAAACACCCCAAAAAAAATCACAAAAAATGGGTTGTGTATCATCAACTCTCCTAAACCAAGACGATGATTTCCCACAAATCGGAAGCACCGCCTTTAACCACCACATTGTCTCCCTCACTTCCACCACTTACGGCCTTCTTTCGCTCGATCCCCCACCACCCTCTTCCCCTATGACACCGCCTCAGCCGCTCCCTCGCTTCTCTCTAACACCCAAATCCCTACTCATTGACCAGCCTCCTACCGAAGTCATCAATTCATGGGAACTTATGGCCGGCCTGGACTCAACCACACCAGAAAATAATGAGATTCAAGACAATAATAGTAGTTTCAGATTCACTCCTCAGTTATCTAACTCCAAACCTTGTACCCCTAAATTCTTCTCCAAATTCAAAGAGAATTCGAACCCGAATACTAATACTCGGGTTCGAAAACCCCGACAATTGTTCTCAGAACCAGATGATGGTTGCGGAAATAAGTGTAAATTGGAGAAGTTTCCGGAAATTTGTCCGCCAAATGGGGAGGATAAAGTAGTGCTCTACACTACTTCTTTGAGAGGGGTTCGGAAGACGTTTGAGGGTTGCAATGCGGTTAGATCGGTGATTCAAGGTTTGGGTTTCGGGTTTTGCGAAAGAGATATATCAATGGATCGCGGGCTAAGAGACGAATTGAAGAAGTTGTTAGCATCATCATCAAAGGGCGGAAATCATGAGGTGCTTGCTCCGTCTCCGCCACCGCTGCCTTGTTTATTTATAAAAGGACGGTTTATTGGAGGAGTTGATGAAGTGTTGAAATTACACGAAGAAGGTGGCCTTGTTGAGCTGCTTCAAGGGTTACCGAGACTCGAGGCAGGTACTGTGTGTGAAGGGTGCGGTGATGTTAGGTTCTTGCCTTGTTTTCGATGTAATGGGAGTTGTAAATTGGTTGCGGTTGTCAAAGAGGTTGATGATGATTATAATCAAGATAATGTTATTAGTAAGAATACTAATTATGTTAGTAGTGATGGTGTTAAGAGGTCTGTAGTGATTAGATGCCCTGATTGTAATGAGAATGGATTAGTGCTCTGCCCTATTTGCAGTTGATCAAATCATAAAATTAATTTGTAAGTTTATTTCTCTATCTCAAATCTTCTCATTTGAGTATTTTTAAACAATAGTGTTAATTGTATGGTTATGTTATACAAGTACAATATATTGTAAACTAGAAAATTTGGTTTCTACTAATTGATATGATTTGTAAGAGTATGGATAATTTTGAACTAATGACTTTACAAGTATTATACAACTTTTGAAATCTTTTCAAGATTTCGAATTATTGATTGATCATACCTTCACCTACACAGAATGACAATGACATTACTCTTGTTTTTGGTTTGTACCAACTAAAAGGAAAAATCTAAAATCATGCATTTGGATATGTTGTTTCATAGGAAGATGCATAATTTTTCTACGACATTTAGGTTGATACTTGGTGTCGTAGTGCATCCTCCATGATTTCACTTTTCTATTAGTCTTTTTTGTCATGATATTATACAAGATTGTCTGTTATTTTATCATTTTTTTTTTGTTTGGTGCTTGAATATTGGAGTTTAAGTACTTTTATTTTGTATAGAGGTGTAAGTGTGTAACTAACTAACTCACTATTGTTATGGTTGCTGCATAAAGATTCATATTGGGTTCCTTTGAATGAATTTTTGGTAGATACTCTTAAGCCCCACTCTACATCCCTTATGGAATGTTTGAAAAATCCTCCAAAGGGTATAAAAGAACAAAATCCAATAGTGGCCGAAAAAATAACTGTGGTGAATTGGGGACCTTCAAAGTTCGAACTTATAACTATGAATCTATGATAGTTAGAAAGTACGAGTACAAAATTTAAATTGTTTTGATAAAATGCTTTGTATATCTATATCCTCTAATGGAAAAAATAATCCATTCTTAAGAGTAATTAGTAAAATCATTACTCTAGCTATAAACTCACTAAATTAATCCTATATCTAGATTTGGCCGGTTTGTCTACTCTTAGGGAGGGCTTATCATTGCTCTTAAAAGGTGCATAAAATGAATAGATAAACAATTTAATTTTTGTAGTTTTGTAGGTTTTAACCAGGTGGAAAAAACTTATGTGTGAGATTCCCCATATATGGACAATACACTTTAGCACTGGATTCCTTATCAACTGTAAGTAACAACTTCTCTTATGTTCTTATTTAAGTGTTGAATATAGTATGGATTGTTGTTACATGAGTCTTGGTGAAATTGAACCAACAAGTAACACTCTGAGTAATCTTTGAAATTTATTTATTCCTTGAAGCATCGCGATTTTATTGAAATCTATGTTTTATGGAGTACCATGGCTGCTAAAGTGCTAAGGGTATAGTCACCTTTAAAAATATTCACGAATACATAGTACATAACTGTAAACATAATTTATTTCATGTATCAATTAATCGTTGTAAGTAATTTGAAAGGCAAATACACTACAACTTTACAAGCATGGTAGTAGGCCTTGTCGCTGGCTATCAGCTACTTAAACCTAAAAGATTTCGAATAATTTTGTCTTGTGAAACAAACACAACATTTTACCAACCAAGATGAAAGTCTATGGTGATTGGTTTAGTTGATTACCCCACATTCCTCCAAGAAGTTATCCTGTCCTGTTCAATTATCATCAATTTAGTTGGCTACTAATGAGGGAAAGGAAATAAAGGCAAAGGATAAGAGGGATATGAAATTTTATTCCTCTTTTGATTTGACGATTATTGAGGAAGTGAATGCATCTTTATCACTACTAGTACTCCCTCCGTCCCCGAATGATAGGGGTGTTCAAAAAAACTCGACCTGATTGTCTCGATCCGTTTTCCCGATGATCCGATAAATACCCGACGAAAAATTTAGGAGAAAATCTATTTTTTCGGGACGGGTACCCGACCCGGTTAAATTCCCTTCTATCCGGGTCAGGCATTGGGCGGAATTCTTCATTATCGGGTACCCGAATACCCGATAATAATAAATTAAAATTAAAAAAAAAAAAAGCTACAAGGCTACAGCCCAGCCCACATACCCTTTTGTTTTGAAACAAACTTAGGGTTTCCAGAAGTTTAAGCTCCACCGTTCTCTCTCTCTTCCTCTCTCTTCCTGCCTCTCTCTCTTCCTTCCTTCTTCTTCCTTGAATTCCTTCTCTATTCTTCCTACTTCCATTGCTTCTTTAGTTCTTCCTACATCTCTATTCTCAAACTCTCAAAACCTCTTCTCAACCGCCTTCTTCTTCCTTGAGCCTCGATCTGCTTTGCCCACCTCCGTTTGAGACTCGGTGCTGCTTCGAGTAGGTGGTCGCTGCGTGCTACTTCGCCCAACACGGTGGTCGCTTTGTTCTATGTTGCAACAGTACCTTGGGAGCAAATTAATTGTAATTTCTAATTATATTTTTTCTATTCTAATTTCTTTGTATATTTCAAATTTTATTATTTTTTATTGAAACAAAGCTTTGTATAAAGTTATTTTGTATCTTGGTTGTTCAATTGTGTGGAGTTTGGATAGTAGATCTAAATTGTTTTTCAATTTTTTACCTTTTGGGAGCAAATTATTTACAATCATTCAAAATTCCGGGTACCCTATGTCCCGACCCGAATAATTCGGGTACCCGGGGGTTCCGGGTACCCGAATTATTCGGGTCGGGACATGGGACAAATTTACAAGTACCCGAAACTCCGGGTACCCGGATTTGAACATCCCTGCCGAATGATAGTCATTATTTCCATTTTTGGACACCTAAAATGTTAGTCACACTTCACAATTTTAGGTCCCATACAATAACATAAAATGACCTATATACCCTCATTTTTTTTTTGTTGTATTATCCGTGCTTCCCAAAATACCCTCATATTTGCCTTAGTATTTGTGCCTTAATTGAATGAGTTGTCTCCCTTTTTAATGACAATCAGTTTCTCTCTCTTCTTTTTGTTTTGCACATGATTGGGTTTTAGTTTCCAGGTACTTTATTTATTTCTTCTTAATTTCCGTGATTTTCACCCAAAAGTGACTATCATTCGGGGACGGAAGGAGTATTTTTTTTTGCCTAAAATTCTAGTGATTATAAGATTTAATTCATCACTTTATGTAGTGATTTTAATTCAATATACTCGTACAAAGTATATTTCTCCATAGGTTATAAATGCTATTTTTGGTCAATTTGATGGGTGTTACTTGTTAGTTTACTCTACTAATATATTATCATAGTAACAAGTAACAACTAACAAGTACTCCGTACATAACAATAGAGTGAGGGATAGATCAAGTGGTTAAAGCTCCCCTTCCGATTCCAAGAGATCTTGAAATCGATTCTTATCACCCGCCCTTGTAGCTCTCTAAACAACCAAAAAAAAAAAAATAATAATAATAAAAAAATGTTTCAATGAAATTCTAGAAAAGTGCCCTTTGATCGAAGTGATACTCTGCTACGGAGTATTAGTTACTTCGTAAGTGCTTATGTTATTTTCATCATCATTTAAAACTTATCCGTACAATACAAACTACATACGAAGTATGAAGTATAAAACTTTTATCAATCTTTTGAATTATGTCCTTGTTGAAATGAGCCATTAATATAAGTATATAACCCTTCACCCTTCTCGCTATCAACCAAAAGTAAGGGTGTCATTTACCACCTTTCCTTTTATCTTGGTTAAGATTCTCTCTTGACAACTAGGAAGTACAATGTTTTGTAATGTAAAGATCAAGCTTTGAGAAAAATGAAAATTGACATGAGAAATTGTACTTGCTTTTAGGAATGAATCTATCTAACTTGTAAACTGAAGTAAATCTTTCCTTTTCCCCCCTATTACATGAGAGATGACAGTTTGTTTTTGCTCAATAATTGGATAGTAGAGGCTATGCACAATACACGTTGGGTAGGGGTGAGCAAAAATTCAGGGTACCCTGAATCGGAACCGAAACCTGTTAGGAACTGCAGGTTCTAAGAGGTTCCGGTTCCGAGTAGTAAAATAGTCACCTTGTTGCAACAGATTCCGGTCAGGTTCTTGATTTTTTGGAATCCGTAGGGTACCCTATAACCTAATAAAAGTGTTACTTAACCCCAAATCATATATCAATTTAAGCTCAATTTTTACTTAATATTAATAAAAAATAATTTTATAACTATATGTATTAAAATTGGTAAATAAGTATTTTTGGTTTGTTATATTTGCAAACTGTAAATTTATGAAAAATTGCAAAAAAGTACGAAATATAGTAAAAGACAGAGTACCCTGAATCAAAACCAGAACCGGTTCGGTTTGCAACAGATTCCAATCAGGTTCTTGATTTTTTGGAATCTGTAGGGTACCCTATAACCTAATAAAAGTGTTACTTAACCCCAAATCATATATCAATTTAAGCTCAATTTTTACTTAATATTAATAAAAAATAATTTTATAACTATATGTATTAAAATTGGTAAATAAGTATTTTTGGTTTGTTATATTTGCAAACTGTAAATTTATGAAAAATTGCAAAAAAGTACGAAATATAGTAAAAGACAGAGTACCCTGAATCAAAACCAGAACCGGTTCGGTTTCCAATTTTCAGGAACCTGTTCAATAGGTTCCGGTTCTCATTTTTAGGAACCTTTTGCAACAGGTTCCGGTTCCAAAAAATTTAACAGGTTAGATATCTTGTTATGCTCACCCCTAAGTCCTAACATTGGGCATCTGACAAACATAAAACGAAAGAAACATGAAGACTAAAATAAAAGAGCATAAACTTGGATGAACATAAAATCCCATCAACATAACATTATCTTAATTATAGCTCTTATGTTCATTGGAAGTTTTTATGTTCTTTGATTAAAAAATCTAAAGGTGATGATTAAAAAATACGGAGTACTTTCTTATAAAAAAAATTATAAGAAGCGGTAGTCCAATTAATATGAAAAAGGATGTAATTCTCCTTAATTCCTTTTAATATTTACTGCGTGAAATCATTTAAAATCTTAAATTACTTTATGGCTGAGGTTCAGTCACCTTTGTGTATGATTAAAATGTGAATTAAGATCTTAATTAGTACAAACTATTAATCATTGAACCATTATAATCCTTAACTTCATCCATCTCTTCATCATGTAATTAAATGGAGGTAAATATGCAAATCATTAAGATAAGCTACCACTAACACCCATCATAGAAGTCAACACTTCAATCACTAATTTTTTCTGAAAAAAAAGAAATATTTAAATTACAAAACAATAGTATATCAAAATACAATTTAATATGAATTCTCCATATAAAAAGATGTACAAGAGAGTTTTTTTTCTTAATTGTATATTTTGAGAGATATTGGGCGTGTTCGGACTAGCGTTTGAGTAGCTTTTAGTGATTTGATTAATTAAACCATTACTTTGTAAAAGATATAAATGTTTGATAATGTAGTGATGGGAGTAGAGTTTAGTACTTGAAGTAGCTTTTGTGAAAAATTAATAGTTTTTATGAAAAATTAATAGTTTTTATGAAAAGCTAATTAGCTGTTGGAATTTTTCTTCTATATTTTAAGAATTTTACCGCTAACAACCAGTTAACAGTTATTTTACCAAACACTTATACTTAAATATATATTTTTAAAGCTCACAGCTACTGGACAGCTAACGGTTAGTATCATAGCTAACAGCTATCTCTATAGATACATTTTGCCGAACACGTCCATTTATTAAAGTTCGAATGAAGATCGACTTTAACCGGTCCGGTGACACCCATATATCAATGAAGTCAAACTATAATCATCAAAATAATTTATTAAAATTACAAAACAATAATATTACAAAATTACACTTTGATATGAATACTAGATCCGATCCGTATAAAGATGTACAAGTGAATTTTATTGTAAAGTTTTAGCGAAATCATCAATAGTTAAAGATGGAATGATAATCATGCAAAGAGGAAGACTTTACAGGGTATATATCAGCTAAATTTCAACGTAAGTAATGATGAAAATTGGTAACGACAAAGATCTTCAGTAACTAGTCAACTTTCATAGATAGTCCTGGGTTCGTTGCTGGTTCCCACAAGTGACTTGATGAAAAAGTTGCTCTAATTGATGACCGCGAATCATGTGTAGAAAGGTAACTAATGTCACCATCTTCATCATCATCTGGATTCAGGAGACAGCAGAAAACGCGATTTTGCATACTACTAACAAATCTTGTATAACAGTAGGGCGGATATCTAGCTATGACTTAACCATGATACATAACTGATGAATTCGAGCATATTAAGTCTTGGTGATCTTGGCCGTTGAGCTGTGATGCAATAAGGCGGTCTAGTGTAATCCAATCGCTTAAACTTGTTGTGTTACCGCTGCAGGTAAGCATAGGATCATCTTCGTTAAATGGTTGTGGGCTGCTGTTGTTGCTGCAGGTCAGCATAGGAAGATTATTGTACTGATCATTTTCGACTGAGAACTGATTGTTCAGTAATAGCTGATGGTTCGAGACCTCGATGCTGGGGGTGGTTTTAGTACAGCAGTTGTAAGTAGGGATGATGTTGTTATTGGTGGCGGTACTAGTACAGGTTGTTGGATGATCATGATTGTTGGTAATCTCATCTTCATAGGTTGTCTTCTCCATGCAAGAAAAGAGGTGATCAAGCACCTTTTTACTGCTGAAATTTAACAATTGGGTTTGTGGATCGGTTGATGTTGGGAAGCATCTTGGACTATCACTTGCCTTTTGGTAGTTTTTCTTCTTGAAAACGCGGCATATCACCCACCCTTCTTCTGTTGTGCAATTGTCTTGTCTCGGCACCTATAACAACATCAATTATCGGTTGTTAAATTAGATTAGTTAGTCGATCTTCAAGATCTATCACAAGTGTCAAGTATCAATACTCATGTTAGAGTACGTTATTTTGAAGGTCCGACAAGGGTACTTTATATAAAATGAGAAGTCTAAGTTATAAGATAGATCACATGAATTACTTAGAAGTATACAATATCTGTAAACCATCCAAAAAAATGTAAACGTGTCAAGTTGTCAATACTAATTTTGACATCAAGAATCATTATGCATGGATGTTAAAGGATATTTTTTATCCCTTGAGTATAAACGTAAATAGAAACACAGGATAATTAGGTAAAAACTATCCTAAAGTAGAAGATTATTGATATGTACTGCTTGAAAAGGAGGTCGTCTACATTTGCTGTATTTCATAACAAAATCATAACTCTTTGACTCTATAAATCATCCTTTTTTATATTTTGCATTGATTTCCTAAGCTTTTCATAAATAATGCTTAGAAAAAAAAAGGTAAAATTTATTAAAAGCTTTAAGCTTACAAAGGAGTGATGATCATGCACCGTGTTAGAACCACAGTCTTCAAGCCTGTACTCGTGCATAATCCAATCAGATTTCTCACCATGAGGAGCTCGACCTTTGTAGAAAACAAGCGTCTTTCTCATACCAATGCGTTTGTTATTGCTATGTATCATCTTGTCGCGGCCTGTGGCCTTCCAAAACCCGGCTGCTGTGGCACGATTTGTTCGAGTCCCTGTAGGGTATTTCTTGTCTTTATGACTAAAGAAGTACCAGTCATTTTGAGGCCCTGATCCTATTTTGCACTTCTCTGAAAAATAGTATATAATTTGTGTAAGGAAAATGATCAATTTTAATTTTGTACATTAATGATATGAAAAAAAATATGTTATGAAATGAAATCTAGTCACATAAATGTATTACCTTGGATATCCCATGGTTCAAGCTTGTTAAGATTAATGTCTCTAATGACATCAAGGTCTATCTTTTCATAAGCAACTTTCTTCTTCAAGTAATATTGAAGAAGCTCTTCTTCTGTAGGATGAAATCGAAACCCTGGAGGTACTTTTGAGTGACCATTCACTGAAAGATTCATATTGATTCGACTATCAACAAAAAAATCAAATAACACTAGAAGAATATTTATCACAACAATAATAATAATAAAAAACGCGGATCCTTGTAGTGAGTTGTGTTTGAATCAAGAGTTGATCATAGAAATAATAGTTAATGACTTAGAGAAATTTGAGCATTGTAATTATGGAAAACAAAGTTGCAGAGTAGAACTGTGGGGGGACAAATCAATGGTTATTAGGAAGACAATATATATAAAGGCAATGAAGATTAAGGTGAAAAGAGTCCAAAAACTACATGGAAAGGTTTGGTATCAGACCACTATCAGCAGTGAGGAAAAAAAAAACCTCTCAATCTCTCTCTACCCACTTTCTCACTCCTCCCATACAATTTCTCTCATCAAATGTTTTTTTCACTACATCAATGAGGAGAAAAAAAAACCTCTCATCACTTTTTCCTCCACTATTTACTATACCCCACCATAATACACATCATCTTTTTATTTTATCTTTATTTTGAAATAATGTTTATACTACATATTTAATTTTCCAATACAATTAAAATATGTGAAAATAATTTATTTTTTAATTACGTTTAAAAATAATTTAATAAAAATGTATAATTTAATAACAATTTATAAGTTTTATATTTCCTTTTCAATTACGTTTAAAAATAATATAATAAAAATTTATAATTTTTATATTTATTTTTCAATTACGTTTCAATTATAACTTAATAAGATTGTTATTTATTTGTCAATTACGTTTTAATTATAATTAATAATATTTTTTTTATTTTTCAATTACGTTTTATTTATAATTTAACATTTGAATTAGTAGCACATTTTTGTAATGAACACATTAAATAGTCACATGGGAACTTCAATAACGGTAATACAAACACATGGGATGTTAAATAACGGTACAATTACGAACTAGATAAAAGTGGTTCTACTAAAATAAAATACAAACACGAGTATTAAAACATAAATAACGATACGGTTACAAATAACAAACTAAAAAATTATTTATTCAACCGCATTATGACGAAAGTTCTGCCATATGTGCTCCACTAAATCTTGTTTCAGAGATGAATGAATTTCTCTATCACGAAGGGAAATCCTTCTCTCCAAATACGTGTTGAAATCAATGTTGGGTGGTCGCCCGACGTTGAATTCAAATGGCTCGTTGTTAAACACCGTGGCACTTGTGCTCGGGTCTGCCCGCCTACTACTACTACTACTACTAGTAATAATAATAATAATAATTATAATAATAATAAAAATAATAATAATAATAATAATAATACTAAATAATAACTGAGGGTTTTTTTTTTTACGAATAATAATAATAATAAAAATGATGAAAATAACTCAAAGAAATTGGGAAAAGAAGGAAATTTGTAGTATTTATGGGTTTTTTGAAAGTATATCAAAATATATCAAAATGCATGTCTATTTATAGAGAAAAAAAAAATCTATCCGTTGGTGAATTTTGTTTTTTTTTTTTTTTTTTTTATAATTACAACGGTTATATTTACCTTACAAAAATATAACCGTTGTAATAAAAGCAAAAAAATCTGATTGGTTGGAAGGACAAAGCCTGACGCGTGTCGCATCCCCATTGGCTGGGTCTGACGCGCGTCAGGCCAGCTGCCCCCTTATTTTTTTTTCCCTTTTTGCCCCTCAAAATGGCGTCGTTTCGCCCTTCTTTAAGGCAAAACGACGTCGTTTTGCAAGCCAGAAAGGAAAAAAAAGGGAAAGCAGCGTGTACATGTGGGGCCCACCGGTTACTGTTCACGAGTATTTCCCCTCAACTCTTGTGCGTTTTCCATAGCTCTCAACGGTGAGGGTTTTTTCCCTCACTAGCGTAATGCTCGGGTATTTTTTTTACACCTTTATTTTTACTCGTGAGGGCTTTTTTCCTCACTGCTGGGAGTGCTCTCATGGCCATTCTAGTGTACTTTGTGGGTCCTTATTATGGGGGGGCTTCCAGAAGGGGCTAACTACCTAAAATATCAATAAGAATGTACATTACATAAGGTGTAACTTAATTATAAGTGTGAATCAATTTCAAGTCTTTTAACTAGTAATTATCTCTCGTTAAAACTTAAAAGTATTTACCTTATTTGGTAATCGGCTTTTATACGTCATGTAGTAATACAATTAGAATTGTGTTGGATTAAAGGTAGGTTTATCTAAACTACAGTGTTTTAGCCAATATCAAAAGACTAATAGAAGCAAATTTTTCTCAATAGCTTTTGATAGTTTTGGCTAATTATTTGATCAGCACATAATAGTAACCAATTAACAATTGATAATATCAAAACAAATTTGAAAACAATAGAGTATACAATTGCTTATAGCTTTATTTGGCCACGCAAGCCTAGTGAAATAGTTTTTTAAAGTATTATAATATAATTGTCATTTGATATCCTAGTAAGCAACTTATAGAGAAAAATAACGCGGAATAGGGTTTGTAATTTTTTTGTGTGTTTATTGCTTGTGATAGTACAAATATTTATACACAGAAGTATCCCGTAAATTAGGCAACTACTACCAAGATTACAGCCTAAATATTTGCAGACTAAATTGGTTAATATTTAGTCCCTTTGATTAAGGAACTAATTATGGTTATTTCTACACTCCCCCTCAAGTTGGGCATTCGGTGCTCCAATGCCTAACTTGCGCAATGCCTCATCGAATGCTTCACTGTTGACAGCTTTTGTCAGAATATCAGCTAACTGATCTCTTGATCTCACAAATGGAAGTTTAATTATCTTATCTTCCAATTTGTCTTTTATGAAGTGTCTGTCTATCTCAACATGCTTCGTTCTGTCGTGTTGAACTGGATTTTCTGAGATACTTATTGCTGCTTTGTTATCACAAAAGAGTTTGCATGTTGTTTTTTGTGGAAAACCAATTTCACTCATAAGTTTTCGGATCCATAAGATTTCAGTTATCCCTTTTGCAATACCTCTGAATTCTGCCTCTGCACTTGACAAAGCCACTACTTTCTGTTTCTTACTTCTCTAGGTGACCAAATTACCTCCTACTAGGGTGAAGTATCCAGAGGTGGATTTTCTACCATCGCGATCTCCTGCCCAATCTGCGTCCGTGTACGCAATTAGATCTAGGTGATCATTCTTGTCAAAGTAAATCCCAGTACTACTTGTACCCTTTAGGTACCTCAAAATCCTCATTACTGCTGTCATGTGTTGTACTTGTGGAAGATGCATGAATCTGCTCACTACCCCTACTGCATAGGCTATGTCTCGTCTTGTGTGAGCTAAGTAAATAAGTTTTCCCACAATCTTTTGATACTGCTCTTTATTAGTCAATTTTGCACCTTCAAGAATTTGAAGGCCATGATTTGCCACAATCGGAGGTTCAGCTGGTTTGCAACCAAGCATTCCTGTTTCTGCCAGAAGGTCAAGAATATATTTCCTCTGGTGAATGAAGATCCCTTGCTTTGATCTCAAGACCTCTATGACAAGAAAGTATTTGAGGTTGCCCAAATTTTTAATCTCAAATTCCTGAAATAATTTTCCCTTTAAGTCTGCAATCTCCTCTTCATCATTTCCTGTAATAATCATGTCATCTACATAGATGATTAAACAGGTTATTTTCTCTTTTTCTTTCTTCAGAAATAAAGTATGATCGGAATTACTTTGCCTATATCCAAACTTCTTCATAGCTTTTGTGAATCTTCCGAACCACGCCCTAGGAGACTGTTTTAGTCCATAGAGAGCCTTCCTCAATCTGCATCCTTCCCTATCTCTAAAATCATGAGAATATCCAGGAGGTACCTCCATATACACCTCCTCGTCAATGCTTCCATGAAGGAAGGCATTTTTCACATCAAACTGGTACAGAGGCCATTCCTTGTTTGCAGCTACAGAAAACAGAACTCGTATCGTGTCAATTTTGGCTACAGGAGAGGAAGTTTCTGAGTAGTCTATTCCATATGTCTGAGTGTATCCCTTAGCAACCAGTCGTGCTTTGTATCTCTCAATAGTTCCATCTGCTCTTTATTTGATGGAGAATACCCATCTACATCCCACCTTCTTCTTCCCCTTTGGTAAGATGCATTTCTCCCAAGTCTTGTTTTTCTGTAGGGCCTGATACTCTTCTTCCATAGCCTGCTTCCATTTTTCATTCTTGACAGCTTCCTCCACATTCTTTGGAATGTCTGCGGAGTATAAAGAGGCATTGAAAGCTATGGCTGTGCTGGACAGATTTTCAGTGCTGATTCTTTCGATTGGATATCTCGACCGTTGGTCCTCATATTCAGGATCATATCTCCTTGGTGGAACTCCTCTCGTACTTCTAGGAGGTAACTCATACCTGTTTTGTTCACTTTCATTGGAGACAGGATTAATTTCAGACATATTGTAGGAAACAGGAGAGCTTTCAGATGGTACCTCTTCTGATGATGGAATGTCATCAGATGGATGCTCATTTGGCGGATCTGGTGGAGACTGAAGAGGAAGTGGGACTACGGCTTCTAGGGTAGCATCGGTGGTATTGCCTACTTGTGTTGTAGGATCTGGGTCCACCATTTTTGGATATGTCAACCAGCTAAGGTCATCACTCAAATTGTCTCCCTGAGGACCTAGTTGGGTGTAATAGTAAGTTTGTTCAAAGAACTCACAGTCTAAGGTGGTGTAGACCCTTTTTTGAATTGGATCATAACAACGGTACCCTTTTTGATAAACCCCATACCCAATAAAGACACATTTAATTGCCCTATGTTCGAGCTTATTTCGAGCCCGTTTTGGTAAATGAACATAGACAACGCACCCAAAGACTCGTGGAGGTAAAGAATGGACTGATGGGATGGTGACATGAGAGGATAAGGTGTCAAGAGGTGTTTGGTAGTCAAGCGGTTTACTAGGAATTCGGTTTGTGAGATAGGTGGAAGTAGCAATAGCTTCTGGCCAAAAATAGACCGGGACATGGGATTCTAACATGATAGCTCTGGTTATTTCAAGAAGGGTTCGATTTTTCCGTTCGGCAATTCCATTTTGTTGGGGAGTGTCTGGGCATGTGGTTTGGTGAATCAGACCATGGTCAATAATGAATTGTTCCATATCTAAGGTTATATATTCCCCCCCATTGTCCGATCGTAAAATTTGTGGGTGAGCATGAAACTGAGTGCATATCATATGATAAAATTTAACAAATACATCAAACACTTCAGATTTATGTTTTAAGAAATAAACCCAACTCATACGAGTACAATCATCCACAAATAAAACAAAATAAGAATAGTTATGGAACGCAAATTCAGGCGCTGGGCCCCAGACATCGGAATGAATCAAAACAAAAGGTTCAGAGGCATGACTTAAACTAGGATGATAAGTATGTTTATGACTCTTAGCTAAGACACATGCTTCACAGTTCAATGCTACATCAATATTTTTAAAAGAGGGAAATAAACGTTTTAGGTAACCAAGAGAGGGGTGACCTAGCCGACGATGCCACATCCAAAGTTGGCTTTCCGGTGATCCATGAGCAAGCAAAGCGTTACCCTGTTGAGCCTCCTCATCCACATAG